CCTTCTGACCAGGTCAGGGGGGCTCAAGCCTGGGCTATTGGTTTGCCCTTGGTGCTGTGAATGGATTGAGGCTGTCCTCAGAGTGGGGGACTTTTAGAGACTCCCAGCTCTGAGGTGTTCATGATACTAGGTGAAGACTGAGACCAGAAGGTCCTCTGGGACACGACACAGAGGGAAGCTAAGAGCGTGAACTCTGGAGCCAGACTGCTTGAGTTGTAACCTGCAGGCAGACTGTCTGTGGGACTCGGAGAAGTTACTTAAGCCCCCTGTGCTTCAGTTTTCCCATCTGTAAATTTGAAGCTAATAGTAGTACCCACTTCATAAGGTGGTTGTGAGGATTAAATGAGCTCATGTGTGTAAAGTGCCTGGCACACAGTAAATGACACGTGTTTGCTAATACTCTCGTGTGATTGTTACCGTTACTCTACTCCCACCCCCCACCCCACACCAGGCACAGGAGACGGAGGAGTTCCTGGACCCAGCTCCTTCAGCCAACCAAAGACCCAGAAGAAGGGGGCGCTGGGCTCAGCCAGGTGTGGAGCTGAGTGTTTGCTCCATGCTGGACCTGCGGCAGCTGGAGACACTGGCCCCAAGCCCTCGGGGCCCTAGTCAGGACCCTCTGGCCATGACTCCTTCTGGTCCTGGGAAGCATGGTCAGCGGGCCTCTGAGACCTCACATGCTAGCCAGGTGAGCCCACTTTCTCCCAGCAATCTAGAGATCTCCAAGGAGCCTCAGCCAGCCTTGTGCCAACAGCTGGGGCCTGAGCCTTCATCCAGCTATGCTTGCTCTACCTCTGTGGGACATGCGTAACCTGAATGGCAAAGACAGGTGGGGCTGGCTAAGCTGTGGTACAGTGATCGGAGTGGAGAAGCAAAGGATTGCCTTTGTCCTTGGCTGGGTTCCTTGGAGGGCTCATGATGTGAAATGGTGGCTGGAGGTTGGCAGCCCAGAGTGCTGATGTAGATCTTCCAGAAGCTCAAGAACACTTGGAGCCCAGCCTGGCTTCATGGGGTCTGACCGCAGAGTTGGAGCTTCCCTTAGAATTGGTGCCCACTGAATCCTTGCCCACCTCCACCTCTTCTCCCAGACCCTTGCTTATGTCAGCAAACACCCTGCTGCCCTTTTGTGTGTTCCCAGAATGAAAAGCCCCCTCGGCCTCAGGCTTCCCAACCCTGTTCCTGCCCCCACCTTATCCGATTGTTGTCCCAAGAGGAAGAGGTCTTTGCCCAAGATCTGGGGCCTGCACCCATCGAAGATGGTATTGTCTACCCCGAGCCGAGTGACAGCCCCACCCTGGATACCAGGCAAGGGTCCTGCAGACCTCTAGGGCCATGCACCCCTCAGTCTTCCTTCCCTCCACATGTTCTGTACTTGGGTGGGGGACTGGCCCCGGGCACTCAGGGCTTGCCCACCACTGCACCTCTGCCTCATCCCCAGTCCTGCTCACGAATGGGGCAGAGGGAAGGCAGGACTTACCACTGCTCCTCCAGCTCACCAGTGCTTACTGCCTCCTCTTTCCCCTGCTGGCCTTCCTGGCAGTGAGTTCCAGGTGCAGGCACCAGCCCGAGGGACCCTGGGAAGACTGTACACTGGCAGCAGGGGCTCAGAGAAGCACAGCCCTGACAGCGCCTGCTCTGTGGACTTCAGCAGCAGTCGTCTTTCCAGCCCTGAGCACCCCAACGAAGGTGAGGCTGCAGCCCTGAGGTGGGGCCAGGACCGCGAAGGTCAGTGTGCTGAGGTGGGAGTGGAGGCTCGCGACAAGTGGGTGCAGCGTGATGCTTCTCTCCCCTCCCCTACGTCCAGACTCTGAGAGCACGGAGCCCCTGAGTGTGGATGGCATTTCCTCAGACCTTGAAGAGCCAGCCGAGGGTGATGAGGAAGAGGAGGAAGAGGAGGGAGGCACTGGCCCCTATGGGCTGCAGGAAGGCAGCCCCCATACCCCGGACCAGGAGCAGTTTCTAAAACAGCACTTTGAGACTCTGGCCAATGGGGCTGCTCCAGGTGTGGTCAGAGGGCCATTTGGTTACTGCAATCTACCCTTCTTCCCTCCTCGCCCAGCTGAGAGGGAGGGTCTGAGGGCAGGCCGTGCCCTGGGGTTGCCTTCTGGGTGAGGCAGAATCTGGGCCAAGGGCTCACTCCCATACATGATTTCTGTCATCCTGGCAGGGGGCCCAGTCCGGGTACCAGAGCGGACAGAGTCTCAGAGCATCTCTTCACGATTCCTGTTGCAAGTGCAGACCCCCCCACTCAGGTACTCTCCCCACAGCAGCGCTTGCTTTCCTACAAGGAGCTCTGGCTCTCCTGACCTCACAGTGCTCCCAACAGGGCCAGTACTACCCCTGGGGCAGCAGGCAGCCTTCCTCTCTCCAAGGCTCTGTTTCCATGCCCAGCAGTATTTTGCACTCTAAGTTTTGGGACAGCCGGCTTGGCTGGCTTTGTGCCTGTCCTTCTCTCCTAGCGCCTCTCTAGTGTTGTGAGAGCCTCTCCCTGTCTTGGCAGGCAGGAGCCCTGAGCCTTCTCTGGGCCTCCTTCCACATTTCCTCCCTGTAGGGAACTGTCCCCATCTTCCTCAAGCTTGGCACTGACGTCGAGACTGGTCCAGGTGCCGCAGGCTTCTGGCAAGCAGCTGAGAGGCAATGGTGCCAATCCTCCAGGAGCACCCCCAGAGGTGGAGCCTTCCCCAGGGAAGCCTGGCCCCCAGCAGGCAGCCCCTGTGCTGTTGCCACGACGCCGTCTCAACCCAGATAGTAGCTGCGCCCCCAAGAGAGTATCCACAGCCAGCCCCTCAGGCAGACTCCAGAAAGCCCAGTCTGTGCAGAGTCTGGTGCCACAGGGTGAGGAGCCTGGCGGGCTCAGCTCCGGGTGTGGGGGGTGTGGAACACGGGGGTGTGCTAGAGGAAGGTGGGCTCATGTAGCCCTAGGTGTCACTGTGCTTGTCAGTGGGTGTCCCTTGGTGGGTATGTATAAGGCACAGCAGCTCCTAGGGAGATGAGCCTTAGAACCTGAGACGCTGCCTCACCCCCTGACCTGTGTGTGTGTCTCTGTCTCTGCAGATGAGGCCCCTCCACCAGGCCCATTGCTCTTACAGGAGATGGAGGTACAGAGGCACCTGCATTCCCTACCCCAGGCTGATAGTCATCTGTCTCGGCCCCATTCCTACCAGAACCCCACCACCAGTTCCATGGCCAAGATATCCCGCAGCATCTCTGTTGGGGAGAACCTGGGCCTGGTGGCTGAACCTCAAGCTCCTGCCCACATCCGAGTCTCACCACTCAGCAAGCTGGCCCTGCCCAGCCGGGCTCACCTGGTCCTGGATATCCCAAAGCCACTGCCTGATCGTCCTACCCTGGCCACATTCTCACCTGGTACCAAGGGCCGGGCCCCTGGTGAAGCAGAACAGCCTGGTTCCCCAGTTGGCCTAGGAAAGGCTCACAATACATCTGAGAGGCCGGCCTGTTTGGGGGAGGTTGCCACTCCCAAGCCTAGGACAGAGTGCCAGGCTCAGCCTGGGCCCAACAGCCCCCATGCTCAGCAACTGCCAGTTAGCAGCCTCCTCCGAGGCCTTGAGAACTTGCAGCCCCTACCCCTTGAGAAGACTCCCAGCCCCATGGAATACACCAAGCCAGGGGCAGCCGTGAGCCGGGACTCAGGTGTGCACAGCTACCCAGCTCTCACCTCCTGCCCCATCCTCTCTCTCCTGTCTCTGTTGGCCACTCTCTGGCTCCATCCCATTTTTGTGTGTCCAGCCTCTGGCGTCTTTCGTCCTGTCTGTTCCTGTCTGAGTCCATAAGTCACACCCCTGATGGTGAGACACTCCTGCCAACCTTCATGAGCTCCCTGTGGCCCACTTGCCCCTTCAGTGCCTTTTAGCCCCTGGGACTGGGACTGGCCCTTTCCTCTTGACCTTGTTTTCTGTGTGGTGTTCGGAGGGTGTTGGGAAGGAAGGAGGCAAGAGGAAGGGACTGAGTGCAGGTGATGCTGGGGGTGGGGGTAGGCCTTTTTCACTCTGAGTGGCCCCTGGGTGGGGAGGACTGAAAGGGCAGCTTTGCCAGGCCTTACTGAGCTGTATCTGTCCTTCCCAGAACCAGCCATGAGCCTGGAGCAATGCGAACAACTTGTGGCAGAGCTCCAGGGCAGCGTGCGCCAGGCCGTGCGGCTCTACCACTTGGTACGTGTCAGGTACCCGCGGGCAGAAGGAAAAAGCATGTCGGTAGTGCGAGCTGAGTTTCCAGAACGTAATGATAAGGCTCTTGCATTGACGGGTGGGTGGTGCAATTAAGAACATTCTGAGGAGGCGAGTGGGTTAGAGGTCAGGGCTCTTAAACTGAGCACATTGGTCATTTCTGGCTAAGAGCTGGAGATATCCTCAGACAGGAGGGTGGGGTGTAGAGAGCCCACGTGTCCTAGTTTGCTCAAAACCATCCCAGCTTATGTCTGTTGTCTCAGTGTAATTATTATTCAAAAATGATTTGGCTATAGACGTAGGGGACAGTCCAGCAGAGGCCAAGAGTTGAAGAGGAATTGATGACAAGATGTAGATGGTGCCATAATCTGATGGTCACCCCCAGGGTCTGCCGCCATCCCCTGGCCTCTGGTCATACCTGCTGATCTTGGGAGCATGGAGCTCTCAGCCATGCCCACCAGGGCATGTGGCCCCTTCTTCCAGGGCAGGCTAGACCCAGTGGGGCCTCTCCCTTTTATGCAGTCCTCCGCTGTTCCTCCAGCTCATTTCTGGGCTCCTGTTGCAGGTGTCCAGCTGCAAGACACCCTCAGTGGAGCAAAGTCGCATCACCCAGCTCCTCAGAAACACCTTCTCTTCAGTGCGGCAGGAGCTTGACATCCTGGCTGGGGCCGCAGTGTCCAGCCCAGGCGGGAGCCCTGGGGCAGTGGGGGCTGAGCAGACGCAGGCCCTGCTAGAGCAATACTCAGAGCTGCTGCTTCGAGCCGTGGAGCGGCGCATGGAACGCAGACTCTGAGTTCCAGAAGCCTGTCCCAAGTGAATGCTCCCCCTCTTCCAAACTGTAGCCCTTCTTCCATTCACCAAAACCTGTGGGGATGCTTGGAGTGGACAGCAGGGATCAGTGCTCAGAGGGGAAGCAGATTTCCCAGCTGCTCCTCATGGGACCCCTGTATTTATTAATTTATTTCCCTGACTGTTGCCTCACTTTCTTGGAACTCCTGTCTCCACAGCCCTTCAAGTGGCTCATGCAGGGGTAGGTCTTGGGTGTCTTCGTCATCTTGGTGCTGTGAGGAGTAGGAGGGCAGCATGCCCCATCTAGGGGAGAAGCTAGCCCTCTCTTCTTAGAAGCCATTTGAAATTACTGCAGGGATCAGCTCCCTGGAGTGGAGCACACACAGGGTATTCAGTGGGGTAGAGGTGAGAGGTGATCTGGTATCCATGCCCTTTAGCCAACAGCGGAGCTTTACCTCTACCTCCACTTCCCCTCCCACACCAGCTGCACTGCCCTGGCTGCCAGAGCAGGGGTTATCTGTTTCCCCCACTTCTTGGCAGTTCAGAAAGGCAGAGCCCTCTGGCCCTCCAGGGCACTCCCAGCCATCAGGAGGCTTGAGTTGGTATCAAGGCCTGAGCCCCCACATTCCACTCCCATTCCCCCTCCAAGAGGGCCCTAGCATTGTCTCTTCCTGTGCCCCCCTCTCTCTCCTGGCCGGAACTTGTGGAGCCAGCTGTGGGACATTGCTGCAGGACAGTAAAGCCCTCTGCTGGGCATACATGAAGCCCTGGCCTCCTTTCCTCAGCTCCTTGACCTTCCCTGTCCTCCAGCCCTGGTCCCCAGCAGGTTGCTGGAGGCCACCTTCTCCCTGCATCCTGAGTGATGCCTAGTCAGAAGCCTGTGTTGGAACTTCCCTCATGGTTTACAGGGCGCTAGCCCACCTTCTAAGGACCTTGGTCACAGATGAAATATATATAGATGCACGCGCACACGCGCGCGCACACACACACACACGTACGTACCTACATTGATGCTGGCTGATGTGTGCCTGGTTTCCTCTCATGGCCTGCCCTAGCTTTACCACCTTGCTACTATCAAAGAACGTGAAAGGGGATGGAACACACTAAACCTGAATTCTGGATTCTTGGTGTCTGCAGCCTAGCGGAGATGGCCCATAGTTTATCTGGTTTGAGTAGAAGGAGCCTCCTCAGAGGCAGTGCTGGACACCCAGGGGTGCTCTGGATACTGGAGGTTGAAGAGAGGGAGGTGCATGGGACTGCAGCAGGGGTCAAGAGACACACTGGAGAGGTGGTAGGTGGGACAGGTAAGTGGTAGAGGTAAGGAGATAGATGATAATTAGAAGGGCAGTTTTAGAGGTGAGGAGATAGGGCACAGTGGGCAAGTAGAGTAGGACCAAGTAGTGAAGCGAAGAGTTGGGGTAAAGAATATGTGTCTCTGGGCCCCACTGCTTCCCTCTGTCTCAGGTAAGTCAGGGCAGCTCTGCCACAGCTCTAGGCCACTAAAGCCCATCTTCCCATGGACAGGCCTTTGGGCCCTGCTGGCTTTACTGGTGGAGGCTTAGAAAGAAATTGGATTCTGAAGGGTGCCAGCTCTGTTGCATCAGTCTGAATGCACCTGAACAGATGAAACTTATTTCACCCTCACTTTCTCTGTTATCACCACCTGCGTCACCAAGCCGCAAAGAATCCTGGCCCAGGAACTCTCACAGCTGAGGGTGGATACCCGGCAGGGCTGCAGCTGCCCGGGTCAGATTAGAAATCCACTCACAGGGTACGCCTAACCAGCACACCAGCCACAGTCCACCCTAAATGAGCTCAGGCCTGGCCCTCTGGGTTCTTCACCATCCTCAGCTAGTCTGTCCCTCATAGAAGGAGCTACACTCCTGCCAAGGTTTGTGAGAAGGTGGCCGCCCTTTCCCTACCCCAAGCCCAGCGTGGGGGAGGTCTTGCGCCCGTCCCCTTCTGCATGTCTGAGGCCACCGGCAACTGCCGCCCCCGTTGAGATTTGCCCTGACCCAGTTTTGAAAGACCCTTATTTATAACTTTTATACTTTGTCCAGGCCTTGGCCCTTCCCTCCTCCCCAGGTCTCATGGGGCAGAGGCTGTTTTTTTTTAACATGTTCGTTTGTATTGATGTATGAACTCGTCAATAAACACAATCATTTGCTAATTCTGGGATGCCCTGGAGTGAGCAGGCGAGAGAAGGCACGGTTTCGAGCTCGCCGCTTGGATTCAGAATCTGTCGTCATGTCGGGGCGGGGGAGGAGGCTGCTAAAGTCAGCGGTAGGAGGAGCACAAGGTGTAGGGGAGGGCTGGGAGCCTGGCGGGCTGCAGGACCGAGCCCTGGAGCGAGGCTGCGGGGAGGGCGGGGCTTCGGGGCCGGGGCGGGGTCTCAAGGAGGGAGGGGCGGGGCCTCGGGGCGGCGGCATCATGGCGGAGGCGGCTTTGGACGCCGTGCGGAGAGAGTTACGAGAGTTCCCTGCAGCGGCAAGGGGTGAGTGGGCTGTCTCGAGCGCGGAGCAGCCTCAAGACGCGCGAGGCGCCTTGGGGTTGCTGGGAACCGGGTCCTGGAGTCGGGCGCTCCCTCCTCCCTCCTGGGCCGCTGACACCAAGGTGCACCCTGTTTCTTGTGCACAAGGCGCTCGTAACCTCGTGCACGTGACTGGTGGGTAGCCCCCCCTTCTGACTACTCTTCTTTCACAGCCCCCTGGGTGGGTCTTCAGCCCTTCTGTCGTGTTCCCACAGCGTCGTGGCTTCTTGGGGGTGACTCTTCACCTTATTCTCAAGGCCCGGTCCAGTCTTGACCTGGTGCTGTCCTGTATTTCCCGCGGTCAGCCCGCACCGAATACCAGAACATTCTCTCGTTGCCCTTCCTATCCTTTCCCGTCTTTAAGTCTCTAAGGCGGTGGCTTCTCCCTCTCTCAACCCCAGCTGGATCTCTTCACTCAGGAAGAGACTCCTCCAAGCTGGGAGAGCTGCAGAGCTTTGGGAAGATTGGAGGCAGCTGTGCTAGTCATCCCTGACTCTTCCCCTGCTTGGTTTTTATTTTTCTCTTTTCCTTCCTCCCTCCTTACTCCCTTTTCTCTTTCTATTTTTAAGCAATTTCTTATCATTGAATAGTAACAGAGGTACATAGTTTAACAAACAGAGGGCTTATAATGTAAAGTAAGCTTCCCTCCCATTCCAGGCTCCAGTGTGCGTCCTTCCAGAAATGCCGTTAGTATCCACACACACGCATATATCTCACTTTTTATACAAATGGTAGCCTGCTAAGTACACTCTCCTGTACTCTGTATCTTGAAAATCATTCTATATTTCTCTACTTCGATCTTTTTCAGTTCCACAATTGTGTACTAGTGCTGTAATTTAATCAGCCCAGTATTGATAGGTATTTAGGTCTTTTCCAATCTATTGTTTTCAGTCCTGCAACGAATACTTCAAGTATTCATTTAACAAAAACTTTGCACTTCAGTGTGCCAGACTCTATTCAGTATGTTTAGGATACATCACTGAACAAAACAAATCTCTGCCTTTGTAGAGCTGACATTCTAAGTGAGGAGACAGGCCATAGGCACGCTCAAAGAGTAAATTATATAATAGAAAAAAATGGGTTAGAAGGTAAGTGCTATGGGATGAAAAAGTAAAGCAGAATCAGGAGGCTCAGGGTGTGGGGGTGGGGCACAGGTCACAGGTTTAAATAAGAAGGTCAGAGTTGGCCTACTTGATAAGGCGGCATTTGAGCACTAGCTTGAAGAAGGAGGGCATCAGGTGAGCCAAGAGAAGCGCAATCCAGTTGGAGGGCACACGGGGCAGATACCCTAAGGTGGGAGTGTGCCCGGTGTGTTCAAGGAACGGTGAGGAGGTCCATGTGCCTGGAGCAGAGGCTTTGTGCACATGTGTATTTTTGTCAGTTGAATTCCTAGCAGAAGGATTGTTGGACCAAAGAAATAGTTTGGATCCTCTCTGAAGTTCTCACTTTGAAGCCCCAGGAGGGAACAGTGGCTATTCTCTAAAGGAAACCTATTAAATAGTGAGAAAGTAAAACTGAAATAATTGCAGAAAATACAAAGCGTTAAAAAAAAAAAAGGCAGTTTCCACGTATTTTAGGAATGCCAGTGAGAATAAATGGGATTTTTTGAACCCCAGATCACCCCCTGTCCCAGGTGACTGTTTGGATGGGCTGACATGACTGGGAAGGTCCTTTGCCAAGTTCTTCCCCCTTGCTCTCTTATCTACCTGGTGGTTTCCATCTTGCCTCTCTAGCCAGTGAAGCAGGCACACTTTTCACTTTTCCAGGGTTCACCAGTCTTCCTGCTCAGTTTCAATTTTTGATCTAAAGACATTTCACTTTCCAGCTGATTGCAAGGCCAGGATGATGAGCATAGAGATGTTGCTATGAGAGACAGCATGACCTTAGAGGTGAAAATGAGGGCAGTGGCTTTTAGGATAGGATGTAATAACCACCCACGGTGGGCTAAGATATTCAGGTGAGACTTCAAGGGTGAAAATAACACAGCAAAGCCTTTATAAAAGCCAGGAGGAAGGCATTCCAGTCTGAGCCGTAGGAACAATGTTTGGCACCAGCTGAGTAGAATGTGTGCTAAGGGGCAGGCACCAGACAGGAGGAAACCCAACTGGAAAAGTAGGTTGGGCCTGATCACAGAGCACCATGAATGTGCCCCAAGGCAGACTGTATTTTGTAAGGAGTAGTGGTAAGCCATCAAAGGACTTTTTACTAGGGGTGTGACGAGATGAGATTGTATTTTAGGAAGATGACTGGGGCCAGCATGAGGGATGCTTTGAGGGGGAGTAGAATTAAGCCAGGAAACCAGTTAGTTCACTGCAGCAATCATCCAGCCAGGAGATGTTGGAGACTTTCATCCAATCATTAAGCAAATATTTACCGAGTACCTGTGTGTGCCAGGTACTATTCTAGGTCATAGGGATACGTCAGTGGACAAGACAAGCATCCCTGCCCTCACAGAGCTTACAGTCTAGCAAGAGAGAGACACCAGTGAATAACTGAGTAAGTAAAATACATAGCGTGTTAGATGGTACTACATGATGGAAATAAAAAGGAAAGGGATGTAAGGATTGTTGGAGGCAGGTTACGATTTTAAAAAAGGTGGCCAGGGAAGGAAGTCTTGTTGAAGTGATGTTTGAGGACCCACATGAGCTAACTATGAATGTGGATACCAGCAGAGGAAAGAGGGGTGTGCGGCTTGAGAGATCTGGGAGGTAGAATTACAGGACTTAGGGATAACCAATAGGATGACAGGAGTGAGGGAGAAGAAAGTGTCAAAAAGGAGAGATTTTTGTTAAGGGGGACACAGAAGCATTCTAGACAACTGCGTAGACTGGCACACTGCACAGTCTACTCAAATGCACTTGGTAGCCCTGGGTGTCTGAGGGTGGTGACGCTGTTCGGTAAGACCAGAAAGACACTTCAGCCCTTACTTTTCCTCCAGTGGTTTTGCGTAGCAACCTGTCTCCTCAGTTAGGTTGTAAGCTTCTCGAGATGACACAGATCATTCCTGAATACCTCCACACTGGTCAGTACTGAGCTCATTTTAGGTGCCCAGTATATACTGCTGTTGGAGGGCGCTTTCCAGAACCTTGGCCCACCCATACCAGCGTTGGCCTTGGGGCGTCAGCTCTACCCATTGTGGACTCACAGCACTGCCTCAGTGGCTGCCTTTCCTAATGGTGCCAGGAGGTTGGCCAATCCAGAGTAGGAAAGCCAAGGGGCCACTGTGGCCCCATGAAGGGTTCGGGCTGTGGGCTGAGCCCCTGGCCATGTGGATTCTTACAGGCCATCCTGGCGTGTTTATGGTGGTTTCACACTTTCTCCCTCAAATTGCCCTCCTCATTCTTCTATTCCCGGTTGTGCAGGGTCCCTTGGTCACCTATAGGGATTGCCCCGGGGCACAGCGGGGCCTGCCCTTCTCCATCTCTTATGCAGGCAGTGAGGCAGCAACTAGGTGCTTTTGACTTCAGCCCCCCACCCCATCCTCTTTCTCTCAGAGCTCAGTGTGCCTCTTGCTGTGCCCTACCTGGATGAGCCCCCCAGTCCACTCCACTTCTACCGTGACTGGGTCTGCCCCAACAGGCCCTGCATCATCCGAAATGCCCTGCAGCATTGGCCGGCCCTCCACAAGTGGTCCCTTTCCTATCTCAGGTGAGGGCTGTCCTGGGTGGGATGTGGGTAGTGCTTTGAGGCCTGTGGGCACGGGCCGAACGTCCATTCCTCCAGAGCCACAGTGGGCTCCACGGAGGTAAGCGTGGCAGTGACCCCGGATGGTTACGCGGATGCCGTGCAAGGGGACCGCTTTGTGATGCCTGCCGAGCGCCGCCTGCCCCTCAGCTGCGTGCTGGATGTGATGGAGGGCCGAGCCCAGCACCCCGGAGTCCTCTACGTGCAGAAGCAGTGCTCCAACCTGCCCACCGAGCTTCCTCAGCTGCTGCCTGATCTGGAGCCCCATGTGCCCTGGGCCTCTGAGGCACTGGGTGAGTGGGGGCCAGGCAGGGGAGAAATGGGAAGGAGGGAGCCAGCCCTGCCTGCCATTTCTCTCCCTTTGATGAGGCCCACACAATTGGCCCCAGAGGGTCAGGTCCTCTAGTCTTGACTTCAGATTGATGAACTACTGAAGGTTGCTGCCCTTCCTTCTGCTCCAGGGGATAGAGGCACTTGCCCATGCTTGCCCACCGCTGCCCCTTCTCCCTGCTCTCTCCCTGGGTCCCCTCTGCGCCCCGTCCCGGTTCTGGCCCAGTATTACTGCATGGTGCTAATTCCCAGCCTGGCCTCCCAGGACGCCCTCTCCTAACCGACCCTCCTCCCTCTGACCCACAGGAAAGATGCCTGATGCCGTGAACTTCTGGCTGGGGGAGGCATCTGCTGTAACATCGTGTAGGTGTCAGGGGAAGGCAATGGTGGGGAGAAGGTGAGAGGGAGGGAAGGCGGGACCGATAGTGGAAGGCTCGGCCTGGAAGGAAGTTGGGCTGACTGTTCTCTGAGATTTCTTCGGGGATTCTGGGGCTCAGGCACAGCAGAGAGCCTCCCCCGACAGCTCAGGTGGGTGAAGGTGCCCATGGCACTGGCGGTGGGGGACACTGTTTCTTCTAGGTGCCTAGAAAGCACTCTGAAGGCCAGCTAGGTCAGGGGGTAAACACAGAAGAACCCTGTCTGTGCGAATTCCCCTCTTGGTGAAGATGAGCCCTGGGCTTGGTGAGCATCAAGTCCCTGGCGGGCAGAGATCTGAGATGCCTGAATGTCCGCCGGACTCCTCGGCATCGCCCTGAGCCTGCTGTGAATTTGCGTACTCTTCTGCCACACCACAAGCTGTCTTGGGGTGCAGGGCCCCAAGTGTGATCATCTGCCTCCTCCTGTGCCCTGCCCCTCATAACCCTGCCCACCTGGCCCTCTGTGTCACAGTGCACAAGGACCACTATGAGAACCTCTACTGTGTCATCTCAGGAGAGAAACACTTCCTGCTGCATCCTCCCAGCGACCGGCCTTTCATCCCCTATGGTAGGGGGCGTGGCCTGCAGGGGCGAGGGAGCAGGTGGCCCAAGGTAGAGGGAGGGCAGTGGGGAGCCCCAGGCAGACTGGGCCCCATGCCTGAGGTCTGGGCACAGCATCTCCACTGCACTGGGACCCTCTTGCCCTGCACCCACAGAACAAGTGGCAAGCTCCAGGCCCTTTGAGGGTCCCCACACCTTTCTTCCTCTGGCTTCAGAGCTGTACATACCGGCAACCTACCAGCTAACTGAAGAGGGCTCCTTCAAGGTGGTGGATGAAGAGGCTATGGAGAAGGTGTCTGCCTTGTTCCTAGGCCCCAGGGAGGGGGAAGCCTTGGAGTCTGGGCTGTAGAGAAGTAGCACCTTGGTCTGAAGAATCCCTCTGTATGGGGCCTCCCAGTGCTGAACAGGGCTGGGCCTGTGATGTTTACTTTTGGCAGGGACAGAGTTGGAGGGCCTGGGGGCTTTGGGCCTGCTTATTGGCATCTGCTATGTCCCCAGGTGCCATGGATCCCACTGGACCCCTTGGCTCCAGATCTGGCCCGGTACCCCAGTTACAGTCAGGCCCAGGCCCTTCGCTGCACAGTGCAAGCTGGGGAGATGCTCTACTTGCCTGCCTTGTGGTTCCACCACGTCCAGCAGTCCCATGGCTGCATTGCTGGTGAGGGGCTGCCCAGGTCACCTGGGGGTGGGTGGGGAACCTTAGGTTAGAAGGGGGACCCTCATGCTCTGGTCTCCATTCTCCCGCCAGTGAATTTTTGGTATGACATGGAGTATGACCTCAAGTACAGTTACTTCCAGCTGCTGGACTCCCTCACTAAAGCCTCAGGCCTCAACTGACAAAGCCCTGGTGAACGTCACCAAGACAACTCGTGGAAAAGGTCGTGCCTGTCCCACGCTGGGTCAACTCTAGAGGCAACTTGGAGTCAGAGGTGCTGGCTGCTGGCCCTGCTGGGCTTAGGGTCAGCTTTGGAGGCTGGGGAGGCGGTCTGGAGGACCAGGAGGTGCCAGGCAGGTCTGGGCTCCCTGGGAGTTGGCGCATGGGTCAGCAGCCTGTGCTGGAGGGGGAACGGGGCTCCAGGTGCAGCCTCGTCTCGCGCCAGCGCCATGACCTTGGGCGAGTTACTGCTTCAGAGCACTGGTGTCCTGTCTGTAAAATGGAGATAATGACGGTTCCTACCTCACGGGTGTTGAAGATGATATCTGTAAGGATGACACAGGTCTGGCACAGGGGAGGTATTCAATAAAAGGCAGCTGTGATTCACTAGTGCTCAGACTCCCTTGCAGTTGCCTGCTGTGGTCTGGTGAGGGCTGGAAGGTTTAGGTGACCTTGGTTGGGGTGAGGGCTGGGTCTAGGCTGGGGCCTGAGGACCTCTCTGCTGCCAAGACCCCTCTATCCAGGAAGGCTGTTGCAGCACCCCTGGGCAGGCCGGCCTCAGGCCTGTAACTCTGGCGTGGAACTCATTGACGCAGGGCCCGTAAAGCTCTTCCTAGCTTTGCTCTGGCCTTGCTTGCTCTCCTCCAGCTGGGGCCTGGTGCCCCGAGAGTCACCCTTTTCTCTCTCACAACAAGCACAGGAAGAAGGGGACAGAAACCCTCCTGAGGCTGCTCCCCAGATGAAGGAGTGGGTTTCTACACTCAGACTCCCGCCCTGCCCCACCCTGGCCCTGGAGACGGAGGAGCCCCCTTGCCCAGGAGCCAACCCAGAGGCCTCCTCCCCAGCCACCCAGCTCCAAGGTGGAGGCAGCCTGGCATGCGGCTTTCAAGGGCTGTTTCCTGGAACAAGCCGCAGCCCTGCCAGGTTGTGCTGGGGCTTGGGGCGCTCCTCAGATTGGCCAAGCACTTTAGTCGGGACTGGGCAGTTCAGTCACCCTGGCACCAGGCGGTTGCGAAAGGCCCTATGCTGGGGGACACAGCTCTTAGATTTGCTGCTGCTGCTCCGGGGCCCACTCCCTGCTTCCTAGACCTCAGCAGTCCCTCCAGGGACCCCTCCAGTCTCGCGCGCAGCCTTTGACATTGAGGTCTCCTGGGGGCCCCTCTAGGTCCAGGCAGGGAGAGCAGGGTCGGGTGGGTAGGTTAGACCGAGATGGTGATGGCTGGAGAGAATATCTTCCCGTGTGTTGAGCCCCCATCGTGAGGGTGTCAGTGACTCCATGTATGTTTAAGGTGTCTCATTTCCCAGACAGGTGGTTGGTCCGGGTGTGGGTGTGGGGCTTGGCTGGAGCGGAGGTGGCTGGGAGGAACAGGGAGGAGCTTGGGACTAGCTGGGACATCCCTGGCTCTGGGTTAAAAAGCTGACAGTCCTCAGTCCTGCAGGCACAGCCCGTCATTCTTGCCTCCCGAGGACTCCACCCCATGGCTCTGGTAAGATATGGTTGGGCACTGGTCCCTCTGGGGCCGGCTTAATGCTGTTTTTTAAGGGAGTCATGAGCTTCTCCAGGCGTTTGCTGGCCTTGGACCAGGGATGGGAGTAGAAGCCCGGGAAGGGGCAGGGTCTTGGGATGAAGGGTCATCCTGAGTTCTTTCTGCCCTAGAGATGGACTCTAGGCAGAGCTCCCTGGCACCGTGGACTTGGACCCTGAGAACTCAGGCTCCCAGCTGCTGTCCTGGGGCCCCAGAGGAAGTGGCTGCTCCAGTGTTCCTTGTGACTCAGTTGCTTCGGGTGTTGGGGCCCCAGGGCTGACACTGATGGATGAGCTTCCCCAGCTCTGCCCCTGGACTCCATCTGTCAGAGCCCTTCTGAGGCAGGGCCGAAGGCCAAAAGGAAGAATTGGTTGGAGCAGGGTCTACATCCCCATACCCAGGGTCGTGGGTTTGAATGGGGCCACCTGGGGACTATCTTTAGCCTGAACTTGTAGGACCTGGAAGATGGGACAACCTGTGGGTGATCTGAACTGGTAACTGCCATCCTAGCCTAGCGGAGAGCCCTTTCCAGAACTGTCCCCGGGCCAGGGGTGGAGAGCACAGAAAGCAGCTCAACCAGGGGCCCTGACGTACCTCTCCGTCTGCCTCTGTAGCCTTATGTCCACACCCCTCCACCACACTGGGACCCCCCGCCACCCAAGACCAGCCTCAAGGCTGCTTAGAAAAAGGGAGCCGGGGACATGGAATGGCAAGAGTGAGGATACCATACCAGGAACTGGAAGCAGGGAGGTGTCGGGTGAGAGCTCCAGTCAAGCTAGCCCGGTCCAGTCCTGGCCCTGGACCTCAGGGAAGCAACGACTTCGCCTTTCTGTGCCTCTCTTTCCTTGTGGGGTTGGTCATGATAAGTAGTCCCCACGCATAGGGTGGTTGTGTGATTAAACTGAGTTACTTTACATAAAGCCCTGGACCAGAGGCGGCCCGGAGTGTTGTGTAAGTGTCGACAGGCGTCATTAGGAGGTACTGTGGCCTCATTTTGGCTCACAGCTGGTGGGTGGAGGACAGGCCTTTGGCTGGGCAGGGCAGGTCCTTTGATTCGGGATTAGGCCTCGGGGTGTCACCCCAGCCTCCCCTGGGCCCTTGTTGCTTTGGGGCCCATCAACCTGCAGTAAGCCGATTTCTCCCTCCCTCCCTCTGCAGGCAAAGGTACCCGGGACATGCTTGCTCACCATTCGTGTCCTGCAGGCCCGTGGCCTGCCCTCCAAAGACTTAGGTGAGTGCTGGGTCCAGGGTGGGCAGTGGTTCTGCAGTGGGAAATGGAGTGGGGCAGGGCAGTGGGAAGAGGCGTCAGTAGGGCTGGGTGTGCAGGGGGTTCTTGGGGAGGGTGCTGAGAGAAGGTACCAGGTGGATCGTTGAGGTGGGGCCTGCACCTCCTGCCCCTAACCCAGCACCATTCTGTGGGTCTCTAGGTCCCCTGCTGGAAGAACATGGGCTCCGGGCAGCTGGACTGGGAAGGGCTCTTGGCCCTCACTGGGCACTTGTTCTTCTATCCCACAGTGACCCCCTCTGACTGCTATGTAACTCTGTGGCTGCCCACAGCCTCCAGCCACCAGCTTCAGACACGCACGGTCAAGAACAATAGAAATCCCATCTGGAATCAGAGCTTTCACTTCCGAATCCACAGCCAGCTCAAGGTGGGCGGGTGTCAGCCCTGCCCCTGCTCGCTGTCCCTGTCCACCCACTGTCACCGTCCCCTCCCAGCCCCTTGTCCCCTGCCCCACCCCTCCTTCCTGCAGCGCCTTCACTCTGTTCCCCTTTCAGAACATTGTGCAACTCAAAGTCTTCGACCAGGACCTTCTGACCAAGGATGACACCCTGTTGTCAGTGCTGTTTGACGTGGGGACTTTGCGGATGGGAGAGTCCCGGCACGAGACTTTCTCACTGAACCCTCAGGTAAGGCTGTGCGCAGGGCGGCAGGGGCCTCGGCCCTGGGAAGGGGGTGCTTTGGTGGGTAGCCAGGAACATGGCTTCTTTCTCCAATGAGTGGCCCAGGCTTCCCTGGCATCCCAGAGGCCTCTGTCAGCCAAGAGCTTCTGTCCACCAGAGAGCAGTCCTATCCTCATTGTTTTTCTTGGTCCCTCTTTGTAACTTGCTGCTTTCTCTCTCCAGGGCAAGGAGCAGCTGGAAGTTGAATTTCGGCTTCAGAGTCTGTGAGTTGGGCCAAGGGGCGGTTCCTGTGTGGGAGGGATTCCAGCGCACGCAGAGCTGACACCCTTCCTGGGAGGCACCAGGGTGGAGGAAAGCCCAGGCCTCCTTGGAGGGTGAGAACCTGAGAACCTGGACTCTTCCTAAGGGTCAGTGGGGGCTCTTTCCAGGACAGACTGTGAGCAGCTGGTCAGCAACGGCATCCTGGTGGTGAGTCTAGAACCCTCCCTCTTGCCATCCTCTCACCGTCCTCCCCGGGCCTGAACTTTGTGCCCCACCATGGGGCTCAGGGGTAGAGCTGAGTGGGGGGCCCTGGGATTTCAGTTCAAAGGGATACAACCCCAGCCTCATGATTGGTGACTCAGGGCCAAGGTAATAATATGCTGAGGAGCAAGACCCAGGGTCCTGGAAGGGTGGGGTCTCCAATAGGAGAGGGGCTCGAGTCTGAGGGGCTCTCTTCATGCCCCAGGCCCGGGAGCTCTCCTGCTTGCATGTTCGACTGGAGAAGGCAGGGGATCAGAAGGGTGAGTCCCCCACCTCTTCTTCTCCTTTCCAAGGGGACCCTGGAGGGAGGGGGCCTTGTACTAGCTGCCCTCAGCTCTCAGGCAGGAGCAGGGGTTGGAGGGAAAATCCACACCAGGGCTTTTCCCCGTAGTCCTCAGAGGGACTGTGGTGAGGGCTCCATCTTCCAGCCTAGGTCTGGGCCAGACCTCCATCGCAGTAGAGATGGCCGCTTAGGTAAGACAGGGGCCTCTGTGGGGGCTCCCATTCCTAGCCTCTCTGCTCTGGTTCCTGTTTCCAGAGTCAGAGGGCAGAGTTCAGCTGGTGCTTCCTGGGTCCCGTGAAGGTCCGCAGGAGGCCTCGGTGGAAGCCGGCTCCTTCTGCTTCCATTGCCCGGCCTGCTGGGAGCAGGAGCTGAGTGTTTACCTGCAGGTAGTGCACGGCTTCCTCCTGGGTGCCGGAGCTGCAGGGCCCCTCCGCCTCCTTCCCAGCGCCTCCTGCCAGCCTGTCCCTCTGCTCACCCTGAGCCCCACCCCCCATCAGAATCAGGCACCTGGGAAGTGTGGAGTCGACCTGTCTCCTGTCCCCCTTCCTATTGCTTTTCTGTCACTCCCAGGGGCCGTTGGTGAGGTCCCTGCTGGAACGGAGGGGTGGAGATTCTTAGGTCTTCTTTCATCCTCCCTGCAGGACGCCCCCCAAGAGCGTCTGAAGGTGCCCTTGAGGGCCCTGCCCTCTGGCCAAGTGGTGAGACTCGTCTTCCCTACGTCCCAGGTACTGGTCACCCAGAGAAAGAAAGACAGATGCACGGGCAAGGCTGGGCCCAGGCCCCAGGCCTTGAAGGGCTGGCCTGCTTCTCTAGCAGCTTCTGTCCTCAGGCCCTGACCTGGACAAGTGCTGGGCCAGACTCTGGGGAGGGGGTCCTCTGAGCATCCCTGCCCTCGGGCCTCAGACCTGGCCCCTGTGGAGATGGCTGGGGCCCAAGGGAACATGGGGAAGTCCTGGGACATGGCTTGGGTTGGGATGAGGGAACAGAGTGGCCAATCTTTGTGACTGGAGTGTTCATGGTTTTCAGGAGCCCCTGATGAGGGTGGAGCTGAAAAAAGAAGAAGGGTGAGATGCTGGCTGGGCCCTGGGGAAGGTCACGGGGGACAGCAGCCAGGGCATTCAGCCTGGAGGAGCGAGGGGGATGGGCTGACT